TGCACATGCCCATCAAACAGAGTTACAGGCACGGTTAAACCTGCTGGAAATCTGCACATGCAGACACACACAGAGATACACACACATACAAACACAGGAATTAGTTGAGGGGTTAGGAGAAACCCTTTCTTCCCAAGAATATTGGTAATTTGAACTTCATACCATAACTAAGTAAATGGTTTGGGGGGGAGTGTGGTTTAGAAGAGTCTGACTCAGGTTCCTGTTGTAAATCTAGTTTTACCACTGCTGGGTGATCCTGAGTGTAGTTCTCAGATTCCCTCAGCCATGGTGCTTTTTGCTTTAAAAGGGGAATAATAAGAACTGCTCAGTCACAGGTGAGACCATAACTCATTTGTGCTCAAGTACAACATACACTGGAAATACTAATTCTCCCTGTGTAAGTAATTTGGGTTCTGGTGATGGTGGAGAGGAGTCTGCATTAAACATCTGGTTTGCTTTTGACTACTTTTGTCAGCACCTGCATGTAATTGAGTTCTCCAGTTGTCCAGAAAAGTAGCTGAGGCTGAGACACAAGATAGAAGTCAACGGCTTTTATATAATTATATTTTCTATTTGGACAGGTAGGAGGGTACCTTCCCATTTTGCAGTCTTCATGGAAGATAAAGGTTTTTGACAGCACATCACTTGGACAGGATATGAAGGATTGCAGATAAACCCGGATTTTGGGCTACAGGGTTTATCAAATATTGCAGTGCTGCAGGCTGGGATTTATCATCTCTCCAGGCTTGGTTCCTATTTGCCTTTGCTGAAATCCTTTTGAAGGGTGACAGCATTCAAGTACATTAGAACTGTAAGCAGGCAAATACAGAAGTCAGGATTTCTTATTACAGGAGAAATGGAATAAAAAAATTGTGAAGATTACAGAGGAAATCATGTCATGGTGAATAAGAAGTCAGTCTCCAATCTTGAGGAGAACTGGCATTCAGACTAGTTTAAATAAGATGTTAGAGTTTTTTTTCTATTTAAACTTGATCTTGAATTTCCTTCTGGTACCTCATATCCTTTTACGGTCAGTAGCACTGAACTCATGCATATTTATTAGATTTAGACATATTTTGCAAGTCACCTTCACATCTTATTTTCTTTTCCTGGACAAACTGGTTGGTTATGTACACATTGAATTTGCAAATCTCATCTCTGGTGTACATTAACCCCTATTAGTCTGGTTGCTCAATGTGCAGATAAATTTTGGGGCTTATTTACAATTTAACTTCCTTCTGTATATTAAGCACAGCCCATACTTCTGTTTAGTTTTCACAACCCAGATTCCTTTCACACATGGAAATGACCTGCATGTTCAGCATCCTGGCAGGGAAACAGCCGTTCTGTTTGAGAGATCAGTGCCCCTGCTGTCTGAGAGAGAGCAGGAATTAGGTGTTTGTAAGGTACTCCTTCCTCTCAGGGAGCTGCAGGTGTGAGAAGAGCAGCAGCTTTATTTACCTGCATTTATTTTCTTTGCCTGAAGTTCACAGTGAAGCTGGAATGGAAGAGGCAGATTTTATTTTTCCTCCCCAGACTAAAACCACATCTCAGAACTCGAGCTAGAAGCACTTTCTGTTTGCTTGTGGCACTTCCAGACCTGCTGAAGGTCTGGAAAGTGCAGCCACTGAAACACACACAGTTGGGTAGTGAGGCAGAGGTTGGTGTGGCAGGAGTTGTTGTTGGAATAAACACAGTTGTGTTTTTTCCATCACTCCATGCTCATTTACTGGGTCAGTCAGCCACAGACCCTGGCTGTGCAAGGGTAAATCTCTGTCCCTGGGCAAGCACTGGGACTGTAGGATCCACTCTCAAATTTCACCTCGGATGGGGTTCACTGTTGTTAAAATCAAATAAAACTGTGGTTATACCTATTACAGGGAATGGTTAGAGCTTATTCATAGCGAGGAAAAGAACCTGACATGGGATATACAGTCAACTTTGCAATCAGTTGTGCTTTCAAATGCTTAATTGCTTACAGTTCTGCCAGGACAGTCTTCAGGTTTCAGATGAACCCCTCCGAGTTCCCTGTGAGGACTTATCCCTTTGAAGAAAAGGAACTTTTTACCTCCATCACTCTGAGAGGCACTTGAACTGATTTTGTTCACATTCCCAACTCTGGGCAAAGCCACAGCCACAAAATTCTACAGTCCAGGGTTTTAGAGGGAACAGTGGCCTTGTTTCCAGGAGAATAGCCTGAAACACAGACTGCCCACAGGCAGCCAGCCCAAGGGATTGGGCAGCTCCAGGAAGCAGCTCGTGTTCCAGCACTGGAGCAGTTCCCACTGCTGCTCTGGGTGAAGCACAGCTTTACTGCCAGGCTCAGTCTGACTAATGGGCATGTCTGACCCTGATTTTCACTTCAAAAAGAAGCCGTAGTTGGAATGATTTAGAAAAGCAGGATTTTCCATACAGTCCCAGGGTTTGTGCAGGCAAAAATATCTGCATTATATTAATTCTGCTGGATCCCTGGTGGTGTGTGGAGCTCCCACCCATCTTCCAGGGTATAGGAAAGCTTTAGCACACAAGCAGTGCCACTTGTCACGTGCCAAAAGCACAATAAAAGGGTCTGTTCAAGCCACAAGATGAGAGGCTCAGGGGAAAAGTAGCCTTGAGTTATCTGGATTCAAAAGAGAGAATTCAGCACCTGTGGCAATGAACAAAGTCAGGCCCTGTTATCAGCTTGGACTGGTGCCACCAGCAGAGACAATCTGCTGTTTCCAGTGTTCCAGCCATTTCAGTTGAAGCTGTTTGGACCTAACCTGGGAATACAATGCTGGGATTATCATCACAGCAGCCTTGGCAAACAGGGTTCCCTTCCTGAACTACCTGACATTCTGCATACCTGAAAAGTGTAGTTTTTGCAGTAAAACGAATCTGATTGCATCCTCCAGGTTTTTTTGCAGCGCTGCCTGGGACACACGGGATACAATCAAATTCTCTTTCCTGGCATCTCATGCACTAATGATCATTGTCCTACCAGTACTTTGCAGGGTGAGTTGGCTTCTCTAGTTCCCAATTTGGTAACCCAAATTGGGTTTTCCCCCGGTTTTTTAATTAAGCAGAAATAAATTCCACTTCTATGAACCAGTGGCCACATTCTGCTTCCAGGTACTGATAAAAATGCAGAATTAACCACTTGCCTGTCAGCGTTGGGTGGAACCCCCCAACCTCCTCATACCCACAGTGCAAGTTTTCATCAAGCTGGAGCTCCTGGCCATTTACTAAAGGGGTGATTGAGGAGTTCAGAGCGCCACACATGTTCCCTAAGTGGAGGGAGGGAAAACAAAAAGAGATTTTGTTCTTTTGAGGCACAGATTGTTATCATATCACAAAAGCCAGCAGCTGAAAAGATTCCAGTCAGGAAGCACCGTGCCTTGAGAACGGGTTAGACTGCCTGTCCTTCCCTGGGAGACTGACACCCAACGGGATCCATCTGGGATGGAAATGAGTTACCCTGACTGCTGGGCTCCCAGCCATTATCAGATGCTGAAGTGTTTGACATACCTCCCTCTCTGTGGGCTCCTCCTGTCATTCCCCAGAACACGTGCACGAGCAGCTGCATTCAGCTGTGGTGTCAGATGAACGTTACCTTGAAAACCCAGAAAGCAAAAAACACCCCCAACCAGAGTGGCTCGATGTTGAGTGGCAGAGGTAGTATTTTATTTCTTTTGAGCATCCCTCCTCAAGGACACTAAATTTAGAGTTTGTAAAACATTGCTAAATGAAAACAAAACATTGCCAATAACAAAAATGCAAACCTGCTGGAAAGGAAAATGCAGCAGCATTCAAGTATCAGAAAACATGAGAGCTAAAGTGCTTGAGAGAATTTCTTAACTATGTAGAGTTTGAAGTCAGTGTTCCCCTAGAAATGCTATTTTTAAAACAGCACCTGCCTGGCTGCATAGGATTTTTCACCAATCTATAGCAAGATAACACTACTAAGCCAGAGCCATTACCCCAAAGGGCTAGGAGCAACACATTTCTTTCTATCCCTCATACTAAAATAAATAATATTCAAAGAAACACATTATAAAGTTCAGGCAGCTGAAGTTGGACTTCAAGGAACGTGACAGAACGGATTTCCCATGCAGTGAAGTCGCTAGCATGGCCTGAAGCTGAACAAAGCTTTGGTGGGATTTATAAAGTGCTATCTTTTAGTGTTTTATGCCTGTCTTTAGTAGTGTTTTTTTTCACACCAGCACCGGGGTTGTGAGTTAAAAAAAATTCTGAAGTAACAGACCAATTCTCAGTGGATGCTGGAGCCAGACAGACATTGCACAGTGCACACAAATAACATTAAAAAACTACAAACAAATCAAACAAAAAAAACCCCAAGCCCCAAAACCTAACCCAGTTATGGTAAAACATTTCATCCTTAAAAACAAACACCCACCAAGCACCAAGAGCAAATGAGAAAGTAACATCTGCCTCCTGGTCCCCTGGCTTGTCCCAGCAAGGATGGATACTACATGATACAAGCTCAGCAGCAATGGTTGAGAGCCTGAGCCTGCAGGCACTCAGTGCAAAACTCTCCCGGCATTCAGCTCCATGGGAGTGATCCAGTTTTCACCAAAGCCAAAGGGAACTCCCTACAGGCTTCAGCCAACTTTGGATTAGCCCCATAGATTGACAGAGGGAGCAGGACCTTGTTTTACAGTCACCGTTTTTCTATCCAGCCACAAAAGCCACCCCCTGAAATTCCTGGAGGGGTTTTCAACCTTCCCCTCCACGCATGCATTTAACATCCATTACAGTTAACAGCAGTTACACATGCAGATCGATGGGAGAAAAGTCCCAGTCGAGAGGAGTTACTGGTAGTAAGAAAAGAAACCCAGTAGAAATGCTGAGAATTGCTAAAGCTCCCTCGAGTGAATCCCTGTTTTGTCAGCTGGCAGGTGCCACCAGGAAGCTCTATGGTGTGTGTTTGGGGTGTTTGCAGGGTGTGTGACATGGGGCGAGCCAGCAGCTCCGTCCCAGCGTCCAGGGAGCGTCCGAGCGCCGGCCGCGGCCGCCCTCACTTGGGAGCAGCGTTGGTGAAATCGTCCTGTGCCAGGGAATGGTCTATCCTGAACTCCTCCTCCAGCCCACCAGGCGCCTTCACCGCATCCCCCCGGGCTGCAGGCTGCACGCTGTCCGTGCCGCCGCCCTCCAGCCCCAGGATTTGTCTCTGCACCAGCTTGGAATAAAGGCCTCCTTCTTCCATCAGCTCCTTGTGCGAGCCCTGCTGCACCACGCGGCCCTTGTCCAGCACAATGATGTTGTGTGCCCTCTCCACAGTGCTCAGCCTGTGAGCTATGACGAGCACCGTGTGGTTCTGCAAGTCGCCGTAGATCGCCTGCTGGATCTGCGGGGAGAAAAGGCATCAGTGCCCGGGCACTGGGAGAGCAGACACCTCTGCTGCTGTGTCCAGACACCTCTGGACAGGAGATGTGTTCTCCTCTGGCTCCCTGCAGCTCTACCAGCATCAGCATGTCCAGCTCAGCTCCCAGCTGCAGCTCAAACCCATGGCAGTCCAGCCAGGTGAGGTATGAACACAGGTCTGATCCTGCAAGATGGGGACTTGTTACAGCTGGGCCCCAAATTTGGAGGCCACGTGGTGCTGGCAGAGACTGCAGGGAGCTGATACCTGGTGACTGCAGCTGCTCAGAAAAGTAGGATCCTTTCCTGAGTGTATCAAGGCAAGGCAAGAGAGTTTTTTTTCCTCCGGTCAAGAAACAATAGCACTGACGTCTAAAGGCAGGCAGGTGGCCATCACGTACATGTCATATTGACACCCCATGGTAGCCAAAACCAGCCCTGGGCTGGCATCAGGTACCACACATGTGACTGAGGACCTGGGGAGCAGCAAACTGCTCCAAGGTCAGACAACTGCACTGCCCCGGCAGGATTTGTCATCTGGGATTGGACGCATATCCTCAAATCCCAGCCTTTAACAGGCTTTCCCCTCATGTCATGGCATCAGGGAGACCAAACTGCTGCTGGTACATCACATCCTAGACAGAGAAACCAGTTCACAGGATGCTCAAGGCTCTTCCTGCAAGTGTGGCTTCCTTGGTGCCTCGGCTGGGATTTGAGCTCAGGCAGTCCTACTCTCCTTGCTGCAGCACCATTTTAGGGTTTTCCTCTGTATCCTGTCCTAAAAGGCTGCACTGAGTCTCTGTATGCCAATTAACACTTCCCACATTGACAAAATCAGCAAAGACCCCTACCTCATCAGTTTTATCAGGCACTGGCTGCTGTGAGCATTGAATTATTCCTTTCCTGGTGGCTACAAGAGCATTGGAAGCAAATTCCTGCTACGGAATTAGCAGGAATTCTGATCATTCTGAATAGCATTCTGACTGCACCATGTCAAGACTAAGTTTGTCCACTGCCTGCAAACTGAGGCTACAGCCTGTCCTCCAAAGCCTCTTTGGCCAAACACCCAGGCCAGGCGCTCACCGCGTGCTCGCTCTCTGCATCCAGAGCGCTCGTGGCTTCATCCAGGATGAGGATGGGAGGGGCTCGGATCAAGGCCCTGGCAATCGCCACCCTCTGCTTCTGCCCACCTGACAGCTGAGCTCCCTTTTCACCTGCCTCTGTTGGGTGAAGGGAGAGAGAGGAAGGGGTCAAAATAAAAACCAAGAGATGCCAGGAGTGCAGCTGCCAGGCTCAGCAGGGGGGTGGTACCTGTGTGGTAGCCGTCCTGGAGCTCGGTGATGAAGTTGTGGGCGTTGGCTTTCTGGGCAGCCTGAACCACTGACTCGAAGGAGGCTGAAGTTAAGCCATAGGAAATATTATCTGCAATGGAGCGGGCAAACAGCACGGGCTCCTGGCTCACCAGGGAGATCTGCAGGAAGCAAGGGAGAGCAGGGGTCAGGAGCAGAACAGGCACTGCACGATATCTCAGACTGTTGATATTTGCTCCTGCTGAGTAAGGACCGAGATCAAGATACAGAAATGTCATTAACCAAAATAAAGAAGTGCTCAAGGTGAGCTTCCAGTGAGGATGCCAGTGTCAGGGTACCCAGTTTGCATCTTCTGCTGGAAAGCCATCTTGCAGGAAAGAAACCTGATGCAATGCTGGCATGTTGGCATCTGGGATGGGCTTCTCCCTGCTAAAGCATGCTGTGGTTTTGCTCCAGATCTGTTATTCCCATCACTGTTTGCTTTTCCCAGAGTGGAAAACCAGTTGTTGGGTAAGTCAAGCTGGAGAGACCCTCTCCCAGGCCCTTGCTGATTTTCCTTTCAAGGCCAGTAATCACACTTGGGCTGTGTGAATGAGCCCTCTTGCATCTTTTAATCCCAAATGAGCAAGTTAGGGAGGTAACTACTGCAATTCCTTAATTGCTTAGCAACAGTCTCCCTGTCCTGCCTTATAGCCATGGCTGTTACCTGTCACATTCAGCTGCTTTATCAAACCCTTAATATTGGAATAAATCAAACCTTTCAAACTGTTACTCGGAACTGTGCATGAGAGAGCCAGGGAGACAGGGTCATATTTTAATTGACTTCTCCCCAAGCTCCTAACACCACACCAGGCTTTCTAAACTGAAAGGCTTGCTTGGCCTTTGATTTTCACTCCATACGGGCAGGGAATGTAAATTAGTCACAGTGACTTTGGCTTTCCAGCCTGTCTCTGATCAATTGTTTTCAGGTTTTCCTGCTGGCTGCTGAGGCCATTTGCTCTGGGGGCAAACAAAGGAGGCAGTTACTTGCAGAGATGAAGGCTGATCTGTGCAGACACACAGATGAGAGCTGAGGGGCCCAGACCCCTCTCCTAGGCAAAGCACCAGCCCTTCTGGTGCTCCAGCTGCTTCCAGGATCCTGAGAGGTTTAACTCCCCATTAGCTGAGAATTACTCTAAGATCTTAAGGTAGAAATTGCTGGAGGAATGCAAAACCCTTTTCCAAACCCAATTTAGATATAATTAATCCAACAGCCAAAAATGTATTTCTACTGTGTTGGCCAAAAAATACCAAACAAAACATGTTTTTTGTTCTGTTTTTGGAAGGCTTCCCCTTCCCCTTGAAACCACCCTCCATCCCTTTCCCTTCCACCCCCACAAATTATCCAAATTAATTTCTTGGACCACTTCCAAGCCTCCAGCTTTCTGGACGTTTCTGAAGCTGCCAGATCAAATCCAAAGCAACGTGCAGCAGTGCCATGCATCCCCTCTGAGCCCTGCAGGTGGTCACTGGGCTAAGCAGAACACAGGCAGCACAACCAGAATACACGTATCAGTCGCTCGTACCACGGAGTGCAGGTACTTGTGATCGTACATGTTAATGGGACGCCCATCCAGCAGCACCTGCCCGTCCTGCAGAGGGTAGAAGTTCTCCAGGATGTTGACACAGGAGCTCTTCCCACTCCCTGAAGGGCCCACCAGTGCTGTCACTTTGCCAGGGTGCAGGGTGAAGGACACGTTCTGCAACATGGATGGGAGAGCGTGCTCAGGTCCAGGCTTTTCTCAGCATCCTAGGGCACTGCATAAGAGAAGTAGCCAGAATCTGGCCACAGTGACCCTCTGCCTTGGTGATATGCCACATTAGCCATCTCTCCTGGCTCTCAGCAAGCAAGAAGCCTCCAAATTGCTTCAGATTTGCCTGCTGATGTAGCAGGTCCTCTAAAAAGCAAACTGACCTCTTTGCTGCCTCCCCCTGCCTCATGATCCCAGCCCCTCTCCCATGGAAACAGTCTGAGGCAGCTTGGCACAAAGCCCTGTACCACGCTGACATGTTTAATGCCTGAGCAGGGAACAAGGCTTTTATTAATAAATCTCATTCCTTGTAAGGAAGGCCGGCCCTAAACACCCACTGCCTGTTTTCCTGCCTTCACACATCTCTGACAGGCAGCTGACACTCCCCACGGGCTGGGCTTTGGCTGTGGCCAGGCTGGAGCAGCAGCCCGTGGTGCTGGGAGCGGGCAGTGCCCACGGGGCTCACCTGCAGCACCTGCGTCGCGGAGCGAGTGCGGTAGGAAAAGGTGACATTCCTGAACTCCACCTTCCCATCCACGTGATCCGGGGCCAGGGACCCGTCGTGCACCATCGTGGGCTTGCGGTCGATGAACTCAAAGACCTTCTCAGCAGCCCCCACTCCCTGCATGAGGCCACTGTACACAGAGCCAATGGACTGGAAGGGAAGAGGACACGGTGAGACCTTCCCCAGTGATGGGGGAATCAGTGCCACTCATAAGAATGGCTGAAGCATTCCCAAATCTCCCATTGCCTGACACTGACTGTCAGACACAGGAAAAGAAAACTCTTCTTCCTCTGTTGGGTATGGAAGGGATACATGGACACCCCAGGGAAAGGGAGTTTTTCAATATTAAACCCAGAGCTGCAGAACAGTTTGTACTGTAACAGCCTGTCCCACCAGGAGGGGAAAAAAGCCCCAAACCAAACTAAATCTAAAACCAAAACCACAGCTTGGAAACCCCACCAGAGCCTGCAGCCATCTGAACAGATGGTGAGAGCCAGGCAAGCTGCCTCCAGCTCTGCTCTGCCCCTGCACAGAGGCTGTAGCACCACCAAAACCACGCTTGGCTGTGAGGAAACCTCGACTGGATTATTCCTGCCTGGATTAGTCAAGTTTATGCCTCTGCAAGGGGAAGGCAGCCCTGGGTGGGCTCTACCATCCCACCCACAATCCCATCTTGCTAGCATGCTGCCAACACACCAGCTTGCAGCCTATTCCAGGGAAAAAAAAAAGTAATATAATTAAGTTTTTAATGAAGCCTGAAATTTAACAGGCAGCTTTGTAATCCCTTCATTCTTCACACCAGGAAATGTGCTTGGCAGGCAGCCAGGGCTCTGCCCTTCAGCAGGGCCAGCCTGACCCCTCTGGTCTCAGTTGCCTTTTTGGGGGACAAGCTTCTTAAGGAACATGAAGGTTGTGAGACCACAGCAGGGGAGGAGCTGAGAGGAGAACCCCCCTCTGGCAGTGCCCCAGCACCAAAGAAGTGTGTCATGGGAATGTCAGCACTGGATCTCTCCCTGCAACTGCCCTGTGACCTTCTGGGAGATAGAAAGGGTAGCCCAGAGTGTGGGGAGGCCCAGGCACAGGCCAGAGAAGTTGTGGCTGCCCCACCCATGGAAGTGTCCAAGGCTGGGTTGGATGAGGCTTGGAGCAGCCTGGGAAGGTGTGGAAGGTGACCCCCCTGCCCATGGCAGGGAGTTGGAATGAGATGGTCTTTAAGGTCCCTTCCAACCCAACCCATTCTGGGATTCCCTGCTAAAACTGACTCACCTCCATGCAGTCTCCCAAGACAAACTCATAAATGATGAAAGATATCAGATTTCCACTTGTCATTTGCCCAGAGATCACGAGGTGCCCACCGTAGTAAAGGATGCTGACCTGGACCACCAGCAGGGTCAGCTGAAAGCAAGAAAACACCCCAGGATCAGCAAGGACAAGGTGCTTGTTTTGCTGCATTTGTCATGACTCACACAACAGCCCAAACCTCATGTGCTGACATTTATTCTTTGAGCCCTGAGCTGAGGATCCCTGACAGTGCAGCTGACAGCCCTAGGAGTGAGCATAAAAATGAGAAAAACAACTCAAGTACATGGGCTGATTTAAGGAGCTGGGCAGATATCTTTCAAAAAAACAAGTCCCAAGGGACAACAGCCAAGGAGGCAGAATTTATCTGAAATAACAGAGCATCTCATGAACTCTCTTGAACTAAGGTCCTCAAGCATAATAATCTATGTTAAATTATCCAAGGCAAGCAGTCACCACACCACTAAAATAAACTTTCTGTTATATGAGTGTGACACATTTTAATTTAGAGCACAGAATCAAGCCAGGAGTTAATGCAGAATATCTTCCTTGCCTGTACAAGTCCCTGAAGTATAACCCCAGCTGCTGTCTGAAGTGAGTGTGGGGGGTACCACCTACTCTAGAAAGGAGACAGATCAGCTCTGATGTGACAAATACCAGCATCTTTTATTTAGCTGGTTTTGTTCCATGCTGCCCTGGTGCTCCAAAAAGCAGTGATGCCCTGGTGCCCTGTGGGACCAGAAGAGGCTGTAAATTCACACAAATGCCTCCTCTATAGCTCTGCCATGATCTGACCTTAAGCTCCTGCATTCCCTCCAAGAAAGACTCTACCACGGCTGAGCTATATCCATTGTCTTCCTTCTACATCAGCCCTGCAGGAGCGGTTTTTGAGGGCTTTTGCCTCCTTAGATTTGTCAGGATCAGTGTCAACCCAGTTCATGCTCCAGCTTCACCTGGGAGCCCAGAAACAATGCTAATAATGCTCCCATTTTGTTTCCAGACTTGGGAAGCCATAAAATCTCTCACAGCTGCATGAAGGCACCGTAACTCACAGACCCTTCACCAGTGACTGCCCTGATTCCTGAAGGTGCAGAGACAAGGGCAGCCTCACACGAGGGCTGCGCCGAAGCTGGAGAAATCCCAAACCATCTGGTGTTAAATGATGAAAAAGCATTTTGCAGGGGGAGAAAAAAAAAACAAAAAAAACAAAACAACAAAAAAAGCCCAAAGCCAAAGCCCAGCAGCCTCCCCCTGCCACCACCCACACGCAGAAAATCTCCTTTCCCGAGCAGGAGCTCAACCAACGGCGCGGCTGTTCCCAGCCGGAGCCCCGGAGCAGAGCTGGCACAGGCACACACTGCAGCACCACGCAGCCATGGGCTGCTCCACGACCTTGAGCTCTTATCAATTATTGCCCCATTTGCAGGGGAAAACAGGCAGTTCCATGGGATGACACAGTGCTGCCTCGAGGTGGAATGGGATGCGTTTTTTTGATGGATGAAAATAACAAATGATGAAGAGCCCGGGGATTGCTGGCAGCGGGCAGCAGGGCGGGGATCACCTCACAGAGTTCCCTGGAAGCAGAGGAGAACCACGAGTGCTTTGGGATCTCGAGAGACTCCCCTGCCCACCCCAGCCCCACGCAGGGAAGCCCAGGGCCATCACCTACCCCGCTGGACCAGACGTAGTAGGTGTAAGCCATGGCCTCCCTCTTGTTGAGCTTGTACACCTGCTGCAGCTTCTGCCAGTACACGTTGGCCTCCGTCTCCTCATTGGCGAAGCTGCGGACAGTCTTCATGGCCGAGATGGTCTCCTCAGCCGTGTTGTTGGCCTTGGCCAGAGCGCTCTGCACATCCTTGGAGAGCTTCTGCAGGGAGCAGGGGGAGGCAGAGGGAGCTTAGCAGGTGCCAGGCTCACATCTCCCTGCTCGCCCCGTGCTCTAGGACCCCACCAAGGGATTCCAAATGGGGAGGAGAAATGGCACAAGGACAGGCAGATGCATACAGGACATTCTACAGCCCAGCCACCTCTTTTGTTAGACCTGAGATGCTTCCACTCCTGGGCACAAAGCAAGGTAAGAGCCCAGACTACACCTGTCTGTCCACACACGTTTAATGTCACCTTCTTGCCCCCACTGCTGGCAGCAAAACACTCCAGCATCACTCCCGCCAGCTCCAAGGCCACCCAAAAGATCTTTGATGGCTTCCCAGGGAGACCAGCCCAGCACTGTGGCAATGCCAGCTGCTCCTGCCTACCTGGTAGTACTTCCCATAGACATCAGACACCAGCATGATGATGGGGAAGCCCATGAAGGTGACCAGGGAGAGCTTCCAGGAGAGGCTGAACATGAAGAAGATGACGCCCGTGGCCTTCACCACGTTGCGCAGGAAGATGTTGATGTTCTGGGAGACCAGGTCACTCACGATGGTCGTGTCCGACGTCAGGCGGGAGATGACGTCCCCTGCAGCAACGAGGGGTCAGGGAAGGGGAGAGCAGGGACGTGTCACCACGGCAGGTCACTGCATAACCATGCCAAGGGCCAGATGGAGCTCCCCATCCAACCAGCTGGGGGTCTGAAGGGTGGCATGGAAGGGGGGCAACTCTCCACTGCTGTGGATACAAAGCAAAACAGAGGAGCTTGGATTGCTGAGTGCATGAGGAGCAGGGGGCACAAGCTACATCCCTGGGTCACCAAGGGTGGCTGTGGGACGGCAAAGAGGACTGTGGCAGCACCCTATGATGGAGGGCAGCCCACAAGGCTGCACACAGTCCACAGCCTGGAGCTGACCGAAGGGACCTGATGACATGGGTCCAGCTACTGAGGGATGAAGCTCTGGCGGTGCCTTTTGGTGGAGCTGAGTGTTACAGCCAGCAAACACCACACTGAACTCCTAAATCCTTGGCCTGTGTTTGAGTCCAGCTGAATTCCCATGTTTTTGTGCAAGTCCAGGGTTACCTGTATCCCACTTCCAGTAACATCTCTGCTGTCCTCAGCTACCAAGGCACTGCTAAATACAGCAACAGCCTCAAAACTAAAAATACCACCAAGACAAAATTAAATGTGTGGAAGCTACACCAGAGTGGCACAGCCTAGGACTGGGACAGGACTGAACTGCAAGTGGGGAAAGCACACCCAGCAAGCCTCACACATCCAAGGTGACAGGGACAGGAGCAGAGCTGGAGAGCAGCCCACCAATAGGCACTGATGGAAGGAAGGAAATAGGAGTTTTGGGGGTGGGATTTCTGGATGCCAGGCCATGGGTGGCAATGGGACATCCCCACGGAGGGAGGCAACAGAAAGGGAAGAGCTTTCTGCCTCTGTTTCTAACCACGAGCACGTGGGTGCTGCCTCTGGCTGCCCCCAGTCTGCTGTAGGACAGTAGAGCAAGCCAAGGGGAAAAAATCTGGGATGGGATAGAGGGGTGAGAGCACATCCAGGTGAGAGAGGAACCAACCTGTGCGATTCTCATCAAAAAAACTCATCTCCTGAGACACCAGTGACCTGAAGAGGCAGTTGCGAAGGCGGATGTTCAGTCTTGCGAAGATGAGCGTAAAAACGCCGCCCCGGATACCTGCGGCAAATGAGCTAATTGCAGATAAGAAACGTTATAGAGCCATGGACACGAAACCCTCTCAGCAACACAAACACCCCCACGCCGGGCCAAGGGCCTGGGCAGTGCTGACACCACTTATCACCAGCCCACACCTCTCCTGGGTGCCACCAGCACAGTGCTGGCTGGTCCTAATCATTGTAGTCACAAGTTTTGGGAGGGAACACAGTACTGCTGGAACAGCATTGCCCAAGGAACCCATTCCCTTTGTCCATTCCTGCTCCCCCACCTCCAGCAGATGGACATGAAGGGCTACATAAAGGCCTCGTGACTGCCAGCCACAGCCTTTCTGCATCAAGAATTCACAGCACATCCCTGGGGTCTGGCAGTGAACTGGTGGAGTGGGTGCCTGTGCCCACCATCACCACAAGCTCCTGTGGGTAAACCCCAAACTCCTTGCCAGGGCCAAATCCAGCCCCTGGATTACCTTCCTATGGCGAGCAGTGACATGACCAGCACTGCTGTGGAGAAGCGATCCATGCTCTTCTGCACCACGATGCCGTCGATGGCCAGCCCCGTGTAGTAGGGCAGGAAGGTCTCTCCTACAGGACAAGCACAGGACATGGAGGGTCAGCCCCACTGCGTGGGATTGGCACAGGACCTGTATTCCCAGCTGTGACAGCCTGTGGACAGCCCCATCCCCACCACAGAGATACTCAGCCATTACACAATACACCCTGAGAGGCACATGGGGATGTTGCACTCCCAGTGTATTTTATCCTCTATTGCATTGATTTTGCCCCATTTCATTTTTCACCCACCCCATGCAGCACATGCCACCCAGCACCCCCAAAAAAAGCAATCCTAGGGTGCTTCCAAGCCCTACCACCAGGGCTCCTCCATCCCTCCTGGTGAGGATAGGAGCAGACCATGCCCTGCCTGGTCCCTTCACTCACCCAAGGCGGCCACAAGGAGGAAGAAGGAGGCGATGCCCAGGAAGAAGGCATCAGGCTTGGTGTAGGACAGCAGTTTATGGATGGTGGGACCTGCTGCCTCCTCCCTCTTGTCCCTCGGGGTGCCCCCATCACAGCTCTCCTCCACCTCAGCACGGGACTCGGAGCCGGGCCCCAGCGCCTCACGGGAAGAGGTGACACAGGCCAGCAGCTGCCACAGCCCGAAGGTGGCCGCCAGCGCCACGTAGGTCCAGGCAAAGAGCCCCCAGAACCAGGGGTCCCTGATGGTCTTCCGCACCTCGGAGTAGAGCAGCAGCTTCACCATCATGTAGATGCCCATGAGGAGGCAGACGACGGCGATGAAGGTCCGCGATGCCCGCAGGCGCCGGGGGCCATAGGCCGTGTTGGTGGCCACGCCGATGGCGGCCCCCAGCAGCACACAGCTGCGGTACAGGCAGCCCCCCCAGATGTCCAGCAGAGAGTTGAAGATGTTGAAGTGCCGCAGGTCCTGCAGGACATTCCGGCCGCCCTGGCCGTGGGTGTAGAGCAGCGTGGTGACCACCACATCAGCCCCGCTGAGCGCCAGCGTGCTGGCCACCGCCTTCCAGGCGCGCATCCTCGTCACCGGACTGGGGGGATCACTGACGTGGAGACGGGCAGCACTAACACAGGAAGGGCGTGCTCATGTTGGCCTCTGCTGCGGGTTGTGAAGAACGGGACAGGGTTATTTAACCCAGGGAAGAGGCGGGGAAAGGGAAGCAGGATGGGGGGACAACCGTGTCAGCTCCCCACCGACCCATCCTGACCCCAGACACCACTGTCTGCACCTCCCTCCCCTGCTGCACACGCCCCAAGGTATTTCATTAAATGAGCAGCACAAACGAAGACAAACTTCCCTCCCGGATGACTTCACCCATCCTGAATCCCAAAGCAGGAATCTGCACATCCCCATGGGAATCTTTGTCCCTGCTTGCTGGGTGCTGCCACGACGTGCAGCCACGTGTCCTGCTCTAGAGAGCCGTGTAGGTCTTAAACTTGGACAGTCATGATCCCAGAGTCCCTGCCCACCTTTCCCAGGACAAAGCTGAAACCAAACAGTCAAAACCGTAGGAAAGCAGACAGGGGAGTAGCTCAGCTCTACAATGGATCACCTTCATCAAAATAAGACTAAACCATACGTACTGCAGCTTGTCATATCTTACTGTCCCCAGCCCTCCTGGATATTAATTCGGGGTAGCCCACTAAACCCGCCGTGCAGCCAGCGTGCAGTTCAATGACACAACAGAAATCCCGAGAGGAAATTAAAAATGGATTGGAATTCCACAGCTGCGTCCCGCGGGAGAGGAAGGCTCCGGGCGGGAGCGACGCTGCCTTTGCTATCGTCCGGGGCTCTGTCCGGCAGCAGCGATGATGGGGCAGGCTCCGAATGGACACGGGAAAGGGCAGAAAAGCTCGACTTGCTCTAAGCCGGGCGAGCCGCTCACCTGCTCCGATGCCATGCCCTGAGGATGGCAAGAGCGAGGTCCTTGAAATTTGTGCTGGGTCAGCAGCTCGTGACGGTGCACAGTGCGGGAGGCACCGCACAAGGGGTGCCATGTGCCGGCCACACTCCGGCTGTGTGACTGCGGCCCCCCAAATCCAAACCACGGGGACCAAGGGCAGCCCTTGGCACCGGACAAGCTGCGCCCTTGGGCGAGAGCTGCTGGGTGGGCGGGCAAGTGGGATAAAAAGCTAAAAAAGCGGAGGAAAGCAGAGCAGAGGCTGCAGTTTGGGGAAGCACGGGGTGGGTGGGGAAGGAGGGATGGAGGCACAGCAGAGCAGAGATGCCAGGGAGGAGCAGCGCACGCTTCCCAGGGTGCTCGCTGCTGCCATCCGCTGCAAAGCTGCGCGGATCCGGCCCATGGAGGAGGAGGAGGAGAAGGAGGAGGAGGAGGAGGCAGCCACCGCAGCTCCCCACAACCCGCAGCAGTGTCCTCAACCCCCAAGGAGCAGCCCAAGGTCCCCACTCGCGTCCCGCCTTCCCCGCAGAGGAGAATGTCCCGAGGCGGGGCGGGGAACACCCGGGAAGGGCCGTGCCCGCCATACCCCGGCCGGACACCCACACACGGCTCCCCCCTTCCGAGCAGCTCAGCCTCGCCCGCCCGGACGGCTCTTACCGGCGGCGCTTACCGGGGATCAGCGGGATCAGCCCCGTGCGAGCGGCGGCGGCGCGTCCCGGGAACAAGGTCGGTGCTGGGCGTGGTCCCGCATTGGCCACGCCCCCAGCCACGCCCTCCCCTGCGGCGCGCGCCCGGCCCCGCCCACGGCCGGCCCCGGGACCCCACCCCCCCCTCGCCACGAGCCCCGAATTTGGGGGTCCCCGGTCCCCCCGCCCCGATCCGCCCTGTCCCGGTAAACCCCGCCCCGACGCGGCAAAGGCGGCCCCGGCATTTTCCCCACCTTAGAAGGTTTTTTTAATCCTCTCTGAATATACATGTTTTTGAATTTTAAAAATTGTTTTATTGGTTCTGTGTCGTTTCTGCAGTAGAGAAGGAAAATACAACACGGGAGTTGGCTCAAAAGCAACCGGGAAAAGTGCTCGAAGTAATATTTTAATGATATATAATGATTTCAATGATTAATAAGTTAATCCTTAAAGAGGAACTCAATGGGGGTTTAATTAACCCCTCAAGAGGGACTTGACAAGGGTTTAATTAACCCCTAACACAGAGGGATCCACTTTCAAGAAATCCAGCTTGTAAGTTATTTTTCCCCTTCACCTCCCACTCCAACTCTTAAGGAATGGAAGGGCTCAGGCTCTTCCCTGGACAGCACCCATGCATCCAGGTGGGCTATACAGGTAACAGAGGGACAGGGCAGTGTCATTATCCCAAAGTTTCCGTGTGCTTTTGGAGGGCTGGGCTTAAAAACACCCCAGTGACCCTCAGTAGCACAGATGTCAGGATTCCTGGAGCTCATGCCATTTCTGGAGAGAACAGAATGGTGACGTTACAAAAGACAAATTCATTTTTCTCTGCCTGGATCACTAAAACCAAAAAATACCACATTCTGTTGTTGATTTTAGTTTTGCTAATAAGTGCTTAAAACAAACAAAAAAAACCCCACCAAAAATAAAAACAAACAAACAAAAATCTCTCACTTCAAGCCCTTCCCACATCCACCAGGAACAGTCAGACCTGGAGTGACTATTCCTGGCTCAGGCTCACAGCAGGGACACTTTTAAGCTGCAGGAAACACTGTCCATGGCTAAGCCGGGTCTGGTTTCTGCATCTCTTCCATCTGCACCCAGATCACTCCCAGGCTTTGGTGCAATCACTCCCAAAGGGCAACTTCCAAGCCACAGTCAAGGTGGAGCTTTCTGGCAGGACCGAGTCTCTCTCTGCCAGACTAAACGAGGATGGTGCCGCCTCCCTCGGTCCGAGGGATGATCCAAGGGCAAACCTGGACCAGGAAGGGACTGAACAATCTCCCCCTTGTGTGAACCTCCCCCTTCCTTTCTCCCAGGACAGAGCAGGCACATCTGCACCCTGCACTCCCATGCAGCTGGGCCACAAACCTTGGGGACAGCCCGTGCTGTCCCCGGTGCTGCAGGACCCCAGAACACCCCAGGGCTAACTGGTTTTCTTCCCAGCAGACATGCTCTGCTCAGGGGGCAGCACTGTCTCAATCTGGAATGACACAAACTGGCCCTTCTTCAGCTTCTTCAGGGAGCTGGTAGGGCTGCCCCCAAACACGTTTTCTTCCACTTTGAAGGCCAGAGAGGGCAGGCTCCGAGTTTTCCTTTTCACACCCTTCTGCTCCCGCTTGCAGGCCGTGGTCATGTTGGAGATCACCTGTCAGGACAATGGAGGGGCTGGGCTTCGAGGTGTCACTCAGGAATCAGCACAAGCCCAGTGAATCAATCCCAGAATCAAAGAATCCTGAGGGTTGGAAGGGACCTCTGGAGATCATCCAGGCCAGGCAGAGTCACCTGGAGCAGGTGACACAGGAACACGTGCAGGTGGGTTTGGAATGTCTCCACAGAGGAAGAATCCAAGACCTCCCTGGGCAGTTCCAGTGCTCTGCCAGCCTCCATGGAAAGAAGCTCTTCCTCATGTTGAGGCGAAACTTCTTGTGGTTTAGTTTATGGCCTTTCCTCCTCATCCTGTCACTGGGCACCACTCAGAAGAGCCTCAGTCATCTGACACCCCACAGAGATATTTCTGTGCGTTGATGAGATCCCCTCTCAGTCTTCTCCAGACTGAGCAGGCCCAGCTCCCAGTCTCTCCTCCTAAGAGAGGCTGAGTGAGTGAGAGCTGGCAGTGTCAAAGCTGGATGCACCTGGGGCAAGGGAGGGACCCAGCAGAGGCTTCCCAGCCTTGTTCTCACCACCCTAAACCAGCAGGAGACCTTGCAATGTGAAACTGCAATTTCATGCCGTACCCAGAGCTGTCAGTGCTCCATCAGTAGAGGGCAGAAGGGGATCTAGGCTGGAGTGCCACAAAGCCCAGGGAAGCTTTATCATCTCCTGTTAATTACGGCCCCAATCCCTGCCTGGATGCAGGAGAGCTGCGATCCCAAAAGCAGAGGTTCCCTTAGGGACAGGACAGAGCTGTCACTGCCCCGTGCCATGATTTACAGCTCCGTTTCACAAAAGGGGAGCTGAGACAGTGGGTGTGAGCTGCCAAAGAGATCAGATCCTACATATCCAGCTCCCAGGCCCTCCACTCTCCTGTCCCACATTCCTCCTGTCGTTCCCTGGCAAGAACAATCACGGTCCAGGGTGAGATCAGAGAGAACCACAAAACCCTGACTAAGTGTAAGAAATGACTGAGCAAACAAAGCACTTGAGCCTTGTCTGTGATTTTCTGGCACACAGCTCACCAAGTACATCACAGGGGACACTGAGGTCACTTTTCAAGTGAGGGAACTAAGGAACAGACAAAATGAGCTGCCCAAGGTCACCCAGCACGTCAGAGAGTCAGGAGCTGCATGCTGACTTTGCTCCCCAAGTTCCTCTCCCTGCCCACTGGGCCACTTACTCTTCATGGTATCCCCAACCTCCTCCTATTTTGGGGCAGGGTTACTTTAAACCTTTGTGGTTGCACAGCCTGTCCCTGAAGGCTTCTTGTCCCTTCCTAAGGAGGGACTCCTTTGGCTGATTTGGGATGCAGATTACAAGGCAGGGAGCTGGGCAGGCTGGGACACAGCTCTCATTTAGCCTGACAGAGTAAGTCAGTCCCTCGTATTTCATCACCCACTTCTGAGCAGCACCACTAGAGGGTCCAGCTCTGCTCCTTTGTGCCCTTGGCACAAACTCAGGTGCTACCTCTCCTCTCAGGCCAGGCTTGGACTTAGCTGCAAAATGATTTCAAGGCACCACAAGACTTACAATCTCCTTCACCACGTTCTGCTGCTCCTGCACCATGGCTGTGAACGGTGGGAGGCTGTTGGCATTACCGGAGCCAGCCCTCTGCTCTTCAGAGTCCTTGACAAAATCCACCTGCAAGGCACAGATTCGGGTGTTATTCTGCAACCACAGCATTGACAAAGCTCCTGTAAGGCTCCCCTGGGCCGGGCAGTTACCTCTGAGGACAGGCACACATATCTGTTGAACATGAGGAAGAAGGGGCTGTA